TATTACCTTTTGTTTGTGATTATCAGAATGTATTGCATTACAAGATCGTTGGTGTATGTTAGATGTGAATATTGGCTAAATTTATTGTTTGTGTTAACGATCCTACATATATCTCTATTGTTTGTTTGTGTTAACGATCGTATGTGTCTCCCTGGTGATTATTTGTGTCAGCAGCCCATTTTTTTGTCGCCATTATATCAACAATCCTACGTGTATCTCTAGTGTTTGTTTGTGTCAACAATCCTATGTGTCTGTTCGTGCAAAGCCTCCTTATATTAATCATCCAATGTGTTTATTGAGGGAAGCTTATTTGAGTTAATGATAAAATGTCTATGTATAGTAACGACGTGACATCACAGTCCCTGATCAATTAACGATTAGTTATTTTCCATTTAACAAATTGCGTGCGAAAAATAGCGGGTAGATTATCGTGACCAGCAAATCTCCGAACACACTACTGATGACGTCATATCAATTAGGCCGTGATATTCGCGGGAAAACTTACCGAGTACTGTCATTACTATCAAACAAAGATTATAGTCTACTAGTGCTTGAACGTACCTGAGAGACTTGTTCCTGCTTTTCATTTCATTATCATGTTGTTGTTTTTTTCAATTATATAACTAGCTTTCTATGATCCATTTCTAATTGGTGCATTATGGAGATTAGAACACCTAGTCCAAATCATAAACACAACTTCTTCGAAATTCCATGGGTAACGCTCTCTTACCTTCTTCGATACTCCAGGGGTTATACTCACTTTCGCTCTCTACACTCCTGGAATATGTCATAACAAAATTTAAGACTCAGTGTGTGCTGACACAAAAATACTAGTTTGATCCTTCGATGCTCAATATCTCGGTTGCGTAACGGTAAAATTGACTTGCTTTGAAGTCGGGTGTCGCTCCTCTGTAATCTTCAAAGGAAAGGAATAAGACTATCAGATTTTGTTTTACATGAGACCAATAAAATAGCTAGCCGCGTGCCTTCGATTTTGCTATGATATATTCCAGGGGTGCAGAGCGCGAAAGTGTGCGTAACCCCTGGAGTATTGAGGATGCTCTCTTACGTGTTCTTCACCCCATTGACGTCATGATGTAACCGAAGGCTTGTTATATCGTTGGATGGACAATACAGGAATCGCACGGCAGCGTTACAGTAAAAAGGACAGATATCAGCCTAGTGGTGTATCAGGTTTCTTGTTACCTGAAACCCATCTAATAGCTAACCGCGTGCCTTTGCTTTAGTCATGACATAATTCCAGGGATGCAAAGAACGTAAGCTATGTGATTACACAGGTTTTACGTAGGCTGCTTATTGTGTCAATTGCATTTTAAACGACTGAGGTCTGCAATAATAGCGGCGCGAAATCATTCGAAAACGAGAATCGTGATCAGTGACCAGTGAAAAAAGGGATGAATAAGTAAGAACATCTTCAAAGGGATATATCTATACATATCTTTATAACCAGTTTGATTTACAATGTAACTTAAGTTAAAAAGCCAAGTATGTTTAAAATGATGGAATTATATCATGTAAATAGCAAAAAAGAACTAGTCAATTTGTCCATATATATAAAAACGGCAATTGTAAGAATAAACCAATTAACTTAATTGGTTACACTCTCCGTACTGTTTTACAGTGTTGGTGTGGTATTGTGTTGTATTGTATTTTATTGTGTTGTCTTGTATTATAATGTATGTTGATATTGTAAATATCTCAATTTCAAACCGATGGGTCGAAAGACCCAAGGTAATAAAGAACTTGAACTTAAACTAGGTCTGGAGTTGCAGATCAAACTGTCTCTGCCCTGGCATTGGTTTATCTCAAAACCCTTGCGTTTTTTTGTTTTCATTTCTTTTTATCTATTTCTGTTTACACATGAGCTGTTTCGTATTTTTGATGCATATGCCTATGTCAAGTAACTTACTTGTTACTTATTTCATTCATAAAGTTGATCTAAAACTTCTGTCAGCCTCTTAGTTTATATTTGAGCCTTGTGTCTGCTTTGCCGCGCTTGCTGTATAAGATTAAATCACATAACAATACTTAAGAAAATTAGGTGAAAGATTTCTCTTTAATTTAAAAACTAAACCATACATAATCAATTCAAAAGATTTAAACTTTATTCAATAGCACCATAGAAAAATTGTGGACAATCATACCATACACTCCTCGTTAGTTAAAATATATATATGTTTCATAACAATATAATTACTCATCTAGACGTTTCATAATAATACAATTACTCATCTACACGTTTCATAACAATACAATTACTCATCTACACGTTTCATAACAATACAATTACTCATCTACACAAAAGGTTTCTAAATCCTACGCAACTATAGGGCAATACCCGTTCAGGTTATGCACTCTTGTGTTTGCTTCTAGTTTTCGTACATACCAAATTGAGATATTCGCATGTCCGGCAACTCTGGGAAAAATACCCTAACCAAGGTCTTGGATCGCTTGCACGCGCTGAAAATTAGCACGGAACTATTGTTTTCGGCAAGACACGTGCTTTATTTACCTATGTTATCTGTTCTCTATTACACTCAAAGATGGACGCAAAACTAACAACAGGAGTTGTTTTTCCTAAAGCCCGGAATAACAAAATAGGAAGCATTATTGTCGCCAAATTTAGCTGCTGTTCATGGGATGATTTTGTCTTCCGCGCTAGACCTGGTTACGTTTACCACTAGTTCATATGCATTAAATTGCCAAAGACACCACCAAGCTCCGATTGGAAATGTACATGGGTATGTGTGATAGTTCTTGTTGTTATTGGTTTATAACAAAGTTTTGGTTGGTAGGTTTATTTACGGTCTTTACAACGCAAATGCAAATATAAGCATATGTTTCTGTAACTAACATTTCGTGGGATACACGTTTATCATTAATTTGAAATGAGAATCGACTACACATAATCCAATACAATAATCTCGCGAATAAATCCTCTCGTAACTAATTCTTTTGAATAAGAATCGCGCAAAAATAATATTCATGAAATATACAGTAGCTGTGGCCATGTCATTATATATGGCATTATATTTATATTGAACAAATAAATACAATTCATTTGTATAAAGATATATATCGAAACCCGTCTAAACCGATCACCCTCGGGATCGGTATCTCTCTTTAAAGTTGTCAATATTTCTGCGTTCACAAGTTCGATTCACAATAACATGCATCGCGGGAATTACACATTTATATGTGTCTCGGTCATACAGGGGTTGGTTAAATCAGGTTGTATTCAATATGAATAGATCATTGATAAAAATACCATATCAACATCATCATCCTCGAAACTCCTGGGTTACGCTCACCTACGTTCTCTGCCCCTCTGAAATTTGCCATGACAATCGTGAAGGCACATGGTTAGCTATTTGATTGGATTCCGGTAATAAAAAAAATGACCTAACCGACCTATGAAGAGTACAGAGGAGCGATACCAAACTTCAAAGTAGGTCAATTTACCGTTTCGCTGCTGTGCGATTCTTTATAAACATTTCAAAAGATCTAAATAGTCTGCTTGTATTATCTACAAAGTGGTACGTATCGAGCACATGGATTTTGTCATGACATATTTCAGAGATGTAAAGAACATAAGTGATTGTAACACATGGGATTTGGAGGATACATCACCACTTGTATTTTCAATAAATAAGATGTATATCAGCAACTATTGTGATATCGCATAGAAAATACACAATTACTTCATCAAGTCATGGTGAAAGGCAACATTGGTGGCTTACGCTCCTTGAGTGTATTAACGTTAAAATAACGACTATCATATTTGTGCGCTTTTGAATCGTAAACTAAATGAAGTTACTATGTGTTTTCAGGTTATACATTAGCTCTAGCGCCGAGACAGAGTTTCTGAAACTTGAATACTTTCACTAATTCGCGTAAATATCTTACCCTTATACAGTATGCGTTTTCTGTATTGCATAAAGATGAAATATACAATTTTTATCATTTTCTTTCACAATCAGTTTAGGTTTTCTCACTCTTAACAACTTTGGTTAAGCCTGCTAAGATAGGTCCAAAATGTCGATTATCAACCAGTGGCTACATACTGGCTGTTATAATATTAGCCAATGATCTAGTAATATCGACGCGTAATTATGTGTTGCACCCATTTATGCAATTATTCCACCGTTTAAAAACGGAAATTTCCATGACAGCTCTAACCAAAAGATGCTCCGTATGAGCGAAAAAGATCCGTAAACTGTTAATGGCTGATTATCATATTCATCTAGCTTTCATAATAGAATTTTCAAATTGTAAATAAACACCCGCATCTTTATACAATTTGATATTTTAACTTAATCGAGTTAGATGTACGTAATAACCAACTAGTGCTGTTTGAGGTAAGCCCAATGGTTCAATTTCATCTGATTTTTAAGAATCTCGTTAAAACTAGTTTCTTACACTTATATAATGTGATCTCGTTCAAAGGTATTTTGTAAAATTTACTTAAGCAATGTATATAACAATTCATTGGATGTTAATGCATATCTCATTTTCATTGTTATACAGTAGTTCCTGAAAAGAAAGCAACCTCGACATCACAAGTCATGTTATTCCGCTACCTAACCAGTGTTTCTGGCGGGACATTTCAATATCGTTTTTCAGAAACCATCGATTATATTATCCAGCCAATTCATTATTTAATCATTTATTGCTAGATTTCTGTATTCTAACGTGACTTTACTATCGAGGGTTCCTTGTATGCTGTGTTACATTTACTTTTCGCTTTGAACATGCTGCCACAATTTTTGTTTTACGTATTTTTACCACAAATATAAATACAGCAAATTTGGAAATAAATAAATGCTTTAATTAATAAATTAAAGAAATAAACAAATAAGTGAAATATAAAATTAGTAAAAATGTTTATTTAAGTAATAAATGAATAAGTTTAATAAATATACGTAAATCAATTAAATAAAGAAATAAAACAAATTTAAAAATAGCTGATGACTTCGATACATTTGCATCAATGAACTAGTTTACAAGTGAAAACTACCGAAGAAATTACCCGCAACTAATTCTTGTTATATTCCGTATTGCCAAATAATAAGCAGGCCATATGAACGTCACTGTGTGTAAATTGTGATAATGAACAAACATATCATTATACCTCATCTATATAACAGCGTGTCTGATTGGATGAAACACCAAGTCGGCCTTACGCGCTCAAGTTTCCTCGATCATATTTTCCCTTATTTGGAGCAAGAGCCACCACAACCTAGTTCTGAATGACGGAAGCAGACGACAACAATAGCTCATTAACATGATCAGCTCTACTATTGTGATAATGGTTTTGATTGATTTATTTTTTGGCATAATAAAATATACATTGCCCTTGCAGTAGGAAAGCATGATTCTTTGTTTCTCCTCGATAAACCTCGGAGAAACAAAGTATCTTGTTTCCCTACAGTAAGGGCAAATATGTGTGTAACGTACATCGATTTCAGAGCATTATTGTTTTTATTTTTCATTGTTTGTGAAATTTATCATACCGCTGCCATTTTATATGCAAATTTGTGTTTTTCAATTTTACCAGGACAATATCAAAATTTCAATAAATATGTTTATTTTAGCGCAATCAAATTTGAGTGCATTAACGAATTTTAACGGATAGCGAATCGATGAATTTGCCACAAAATATTCACTTGAAAAAATATACTGTAAGTTCAATTGTGAAAAGCGTAAGTCTTTCGCTAAAATATGTACGTTTACATTGTATCAACAATAAAACCGTAGGCAAGGTAAACTGTAAACATCAAACACAATGATACAAAAATTGTTTCCATGCAATAAAACCACATGTGTTCTTCTCTATCGTCTCACTTTGAGACAAATAAGTACATTCTCAAACAGGCGAAACATACATTTTCTGACACGCTTACTAAACAGTAAATACCATAACGGATATATACATACATTGAGATAAAACAACAACCTGAAAAACAATAACACAATTACACGGTTTGCTCCCACACCATTCAAGATCCCGGGTATACTGCAGAAGAGCAATGGAAACGTACAACTGATGTAGGCTGTCAGCATAATCATGCTGTTCTTTGTAGCACTACTAAGACTTAACCTATCCCTGCGTAACGTCTGTTTCTTTAATGCAGAGTTATTTTTGAGAGCTTGAAGACGCTGTAAGTCAGCACCAGGAGAAATGTCAGCGAAATCGGGAAATCTCGATCTAGTTGAATTCGAACTAGAATTACTAAGTGAAGGATGCAGAGGAAGCTTCTGATTCATTTGATTTCTTAGATTTGAGGCAAGAATAGGATTTTCTAAGGCAAATATATCTTCAAAGGCCAACAAATGTTCATTCCGTTTGTAATGAACTACCACAGAACTATCCAAATCATCACACGATATGGAATATGGTCGTCCAAAGCTGTCGGGGTCGTCGGGGGCATACGCCGTTCTGGTGTGCATGTTGCAATCGCCTGTAGCGTCAGATGACAAACTGAAATTTCTATTTAAAGGTAAAATCCTATTCCTTCCAATAGTACCAGTGATGTTAAGAGTGCGACAAATATTATAGTAACATCGAAATATAATTATCAACCCAACAGTATATACTATGCTAATGAATCCCAGAGCGCAAAGCTGGTCTGCAGTCAGATATACAGCAGACGGCACGGCGCTTACCTGAAACCTTCTCTGAAACGGGTTTAATGTCGAAGCTGCTTGATTATCATCACGCAGAAAGGCAAGCGTAAAAACGAGCCCGAGTAAATACGTTATCATCAGGCTAATGATTATTGACCTTGACACAATTGTTCGTCTTACTTTCAACGTTAGTGATGGCTTCTGCATTGTGTGGTTTCTATAGAATCCAATTGAAGCAAACGTACATAGATACTGCATTGAGCAGACGGATGTTAGGAAAAGCTGAACACCTGTCAAAATTCGACTGTTGATCGAATCGGCTGGTCTTGCGCTGACAGTGGTCAATGAAAACAAAATACAAACGCATAACAGAATATTGTTGATGCTGATATTCACAAGATGGCTGTTAGGTGGCGTTCGAAGGCTGGGAGAATGATAAATAATCACAATCAACAGAGTGTTTGTAAGCAATCCAAACACAACATCTAATGACAGGTAGATGACGCTGACTATGACGGCGTATAATGGCAAATTCCAAACTGTAATGGAAATGGGTAGATTTGTGTCATTTGGATCCGCATGAGTTGAATTAATCATCTTCAAACTCTGCCAAATTTAAAACTTTAAACAGAAAAGTCCATTATATAATCATCCATGAGATGTTTTGGTGAAAAAACCCCAAGAACAACATACAAAGTCCTGGTAAATATTTTTCTTCAAACTAGTTGTTATTATTTTTTCCGTTATTGTTCTCCTATTAGTTTGAAGGCGTTAATCTCGTCGGGCCACGTCATAAAATGTGTGTAAGGTAACAGTGTGATATAGACCCTATGACGTCATAAATCTGATCAATATAATCAGTTTTTGGGTGGATCACGTGTTAACGTGTTAGGTATCATCATATCGGATCTCATTTGCATCATTCTGAAAAAAAACATCAAAAAGGAGAGTTTAGAATAAAAACAAAATGTCGCGAATTATCATTAAATAAAATTGTGTTCAGCAGATCAACCATAGTGTTAGCAACATTTAATCCTAGATTATGCATGATAAAATCATTGAACAATGTACCAGAGTGGTAAATGTTGTATGCTACAGTGATAAATATGATACAATGATAAAATTATGTATAGTAGAATAATAAAATAATTTTTTAACAAATAATAAGATAATCTATGGTACAATGATAACAAAATGATAAGATAATATATGGTACAACGATAACAGTATGATCTGATAATCTATGGTACAACGATAAAATGGTAAGATAATCTATGGTACAATGATGAAATGATATGATAATATTTGGTACAAAGATATAATGATAATATAATCTATGGTACAACGATAACAAAATGATAACATACTGTATAACACGAAATGTTCGTTGGCACTTTTCTTCGTGGCTTAAAGGCATTTAGATCGTTTCGCGGTACAAACTTTCGTGGATATCCTATATTAGCATACAGCAAACACGTATATCATTCAAATTCGTTGTATTTATTTCCGTGGTTGAATAGCAACCACGAAAACCACGAATATTTATACACAACGAACATTTCATGTTATACAGTAATACATATTTTTGTACATAGATGATAAAACGGTTCAATTATAATCCTTGTAATACAGGTACAAAGGTAAAACAGGTATATATGTTTTACAGGTACAAAGGTAAAACTGAATGATGGCATCGTCGACAGTGGAATACACAAGCAGCGTTTTTATTATTCGTCAAAAAATAAATATACGAAATTACATAATATATCAATACTCGCGTTTTTGATTGGTATAAATGCATTCTCTATTCTTTTTTACACATAAACTTGTATATATACGTGGTCAATTATAACTCTTAAAGAGCATTGAGGAAACGTTATACGGAAAGAAAAATTGAGATGCAAAAGCAAAAGCAAAGTAATGGCATTATATATACAAAGTATTATGAAGACAATCCAATATTAATCCTCTCGTTAATATCTAAGTTGACCGTTATCTTTAATTCTGGCAGATTCAAAATTTCTGCTTTTATGACCTTAAGTACATATGTAAATATTAAATATTCCACTGAAATGCGTTACTGGGAGAAAGAAATATTTTAGTTTGAATTTCCTTCAAAACTGTTTTTCTATGGGCAAAACCTTTATTTTAAGATGTTCTTTAAGTCAAAGATCATTCCTGAAACTGAGGACTGGCTTAATTTTATTTTTGTATTGGCTAAATGACTTATAAAGGTGAGTGACCGTGATAATAAATATGAATATATTTCTTCCTGTTGTAATTTTGATAAAAAAAAGTGTGTTTGTAATTCTATATAGCGTATTCGTGTTAACCTGTAGTAACTCTAATAACACGAAATTGTGCCTACCTAGTCACTACTATCGATAATGTCTGCACTACATATACATTCGAATGGTTAAGAGATATATCTCATCACTTACTCCACGTTCAAACTTTCTGGCTCAGTCCTTCATCAGAAAATGCGTGGTCCTCACTCTTATGTCACATCCATATTTGAATACATGAAATTCACACACAAACAAAGTATTCTGCATTGTTTCAATGAAGTTACTCATGATGACGTAACACAAAAACTGATGACGTCACAGTAATAATACGTAATAATCCCCACTACAGTTAATCTAGTCACTTTTTCCTGTAGTGACATTATCACAGCTGTCTGTTAACAAAAAAATGTAGTTACTCCTACCTCTAGTTTCTATAAGTGAATTATAAAAAAAAGATGGAATATATCTCGTCAATTCTACCTGTGCTTACTATCACGGCAAGAAATTTAGTCAATTCTATCAATAGTTATATACATATATACAAATGTAGTACCTGTTATCACATTAATATCCATTTGTTTCCCCTTCTTGTAGTAACTATTGCAAGGGTATTCAAAAAGACCACTTCCCTTGTGTGACACAGCAAATTTATTTTGTAATAAACATGAATGATACCTTATTTAGACAAAGCTTAACATAGTCTTAAGCATGTGAACCAATATATCCTGCTTGCTCCGTTGTGTTGATCTTAAGCCAAATTAAAAGATACAAAATATATGTATATATTTCAATATAAAAAAACAAAAGACAAGAGTTTCTTCGACTTCCCAAGCGCTTTCTCTCTTTAGAGGTTAATCAGTACAGTTCAATATAATATATATATATTATAAATCAGAAAAATGATCCTTACGGACGAGGAAATATTAAAAAAAGAAAAAATTCTCAACAACGAGTCTTTAGTACTTTCATCTCTTCTGAAGAATCTCCTAGAAGAGATGAAAGTACTAAAGACTGTTGAGAATATTTCTTTTTATAATATACATATATATATCTATCACCTCCATTGATCAATCACTCTCCGATATTGGTTTTTCATCACGACACTGTTATCAATGATGACGTCAGACATTGCTCCAGATCTCGTTCAATCAGACTAACCAATATCCGCATCGGAAGGAGCCAGGGAGAAGCTGGTTGAATACATCTACAAGCTGACTAAGTAGTCCTACATTGTTCTAGTTCACAATTCTGTCATCTAGTCATTTGAGTTTTGTTTGTACATTGTATTACGCTTTTTTAAGTTTGATTTACTAATCCGTGGTTCCAGTTAATCCTGACATTTAGAAATCTCCAACCTCAATATTTAACCACCTGTTGGATACCTAGTTATGATATCTTTCTATTTTTATACATATCCAGATTGAAAAATAAATTAAGCTGTATTTTACTTCTTAATCAAATCTTATAACAGTGATATATTCACCATATATATACTGCAATCTTGTATTGACAACACATTTTAAGCATTGGTCATTCTAGTACCTGCTTTATATGGTAATTGTTTTATATTCTAGTATCTTGCACTGACGAAAAAGGTATAAACATTTAGTATTATATTTACATTGTACCGGAACTTTGCTATTTTCACTATACACTGACACAGCAGATTTGCCGTCTGATATTAATTTGCTACAATCCACTATCAATATGCTACAAGTGTTAAGCAAACATTAATTTCCCACACACAAATACATCTCCATTGATCGGAGTTTTCACTGAATGTACATACGGTAACATTAGAACTGGTAACTGATATTTACCTGAGTATTCCCTTGGAACAGAAACCAACGCATCTGTCATCTTCAATACATCAAATTCAGCTAAGTCAAACACGGTTATTATTCCACTTTTCAGCCTTCGTTACTACACCGCATCCGGAAGTAATGCAGCCATCTTGTTTGGCTAAACAGAATGCATTAACGTAAAGACGTTAATTAGCAATATCCACGTAAAGTAAATCATTGTGTCACGTATTCACCCATGATAAAACCAGTGAATGCATGCCATGTGTACTGAGTTATATTATGTTGTCACACCCATAGGTTACAACGGAATAAACTCACGACTCATGAGTTTGATTACAATATACCCAGCTAGCGGCTATATCGTCCTCACCTGTTGTGCTCACCTGTAGCTCCATCCTTGTGTCGTGTTACCGGTAGATTTACCTGCTGTGTCTCCCCATACTACTGGACAAATCGATAAGGAATCACAGCCTTTCCAATTAATCAGAAGCGACGCTCTATTCTGTACAAAGCTAGGCTTGTGTATTGTTACTTTGACTCTTCGGTATCTAAACTAAATATAATCTAGTTGCTCAGTTAAAGTACATTTACTTGGTTTGACAAAATACAATGCAGGCTCTAAGCTATCGATAAGCAACCACCATCATTATATACATTTACATATCTTATTTGCATACGTGTAAATCCTCCCTAAACATCACAATGCTTTCAATTCTGCATATCGGGAAGGAGATCTGCTAATTAGGCGTGGATGTCATTGAAGAGTATGCTAAAACATTAAATGAAAAAAAAAAGACACTCGTTCTTATTGTATTACAAGCCGAGAGCAAATTTCAATGATTACGTGGGTCATAAATTGGATGAACCAAACTTTCAGTCTCTCATTTAATACATATATATGGCATATGGCAAGCCAACTTAACATTTATTCAAGGAGCAATGTCGATCCTGTATTTCAAAAAATAAATAAAAATAAATCTTATATAGCATATGAGATATCTTATATACTATATCAGATATCTTATATCGTATATAAGATGACTCATATAGTATATGAGATATATTATATAGTATATGAGATATCTTATATAGAAATTAAATGAGATGCTATATAAGATATATCATATGATATATAAGATATCTTATATGATATATAAGATATTTCTATATGAGATATCTCATATAGGATATAAGATATCTTATATATTATATAAGATATCTCATATAGTATATAAGATATCTTATATACAATATAAGATATATTATATACTATATGAGATATCTTATATAATATATAAGATATTTTATATAATATATAAGATATCTTATATCCTATATGAGATATCTCATATAGAAATTAAATGAGATATCTTATATGATATATAAGATATCTTATATACTATATAAGATATCTTATATCGCATATAAGATATATCATTTAATTTTCTATATAAGATATCTCATATAATATATAAGATATCTCATACAGCTATATAAGATATCT